TTATTTCAATCTCAAGTTCACAAATTAAACTGTCACCAATATATAATTGTTTTGTACAATGAAAGATGACAGTACTCACATAATCATAGACCTATATAATAAACAGAAGGATGGTTTCTGTATATATGATAATCTGTATATAATTTTCAAATCAGAAAAACCTCCTTTTCCCATAAGATGAAAGTATAATACACATTTGTTCCCCTTCAATAAACCCAATGTCCTTTATATGCATATTGTTAACATCATTTTCTAAACCTTGACAACAGAATCCCCTGTACACATTTTCTTACACAATGAATGTCACTTACCCTGAGATTTTATGTCATGCCAAAACCACAACCTGAAGAGTAAAAATGGACTAGCTAACACATTTAAGGGAACAGTCAACCACAGGCCAAGGATTAGTTACATATTCATATTTTAACACAGTATGTGAAATAAGTCTTCTAATAATGTTAGTCATTTTAAGAGCAAATTTTTAAAATATTTCTCTTCAATCTACCAGTAAAATCACATTTTTATACCACTTTACTAAATGCAACATTTTTCACCACTGTTGAGACACTGTAACTGATACAAGAAACGGTTAATTCATAGAATGCATAGAATAAAAACGCCCGGACAAGTTTCCATATTCTTTACAATTTTATACAAAATTTCAGCATTTTCTGAAATATAATTCAACCTTGTTTCAGAATCAGTTTCTTCAATAATATTGTTTCAAACATATTCAACCAATGGATATGTCTTCAAATGGTTCCTCACAACAGAATAACTTTCATTTAGGAAGAACTCTGGCCTTCAACACATAGAAATGAAATAATGAAGATAGAACCTAGTGGGTGGCAGTGCGAGAGAAAGACAACACACATGAGCAGTCCTGCTACCTTTGTTTCTCTTGCACCTTTCCCGCTCATGCATCTAGGCAGAGGTTCTTATTATTTGAATTTATCATTACTAGAGCTGGAACTGAATTTTGAAACACTTTAAAACTAAGAAAGAGAGTGAGAAACCATATTTAAGTCAAATTTATCTCAATAATTAAATTATTCCATACTTACTCAATTGTATAGATATTATGATCTAAGAGTGGTCATATGGTTCAGTGGTAGGTTAAATTTAAAGGCAAGTACAACACCTGGAAGTTGTATACAGGAATGTAGGTATACCTCCACACATTAAAACCTCAGCACTAAATGGAGGTGACTGCTCACCTTCATGCCCCAGCCCCTTTATCCCTGGAGAAAAAGCCTCCATTGGACAGCAAGCTGGGTGGACCCCAGAGGCAGTTCTGATGCTGTGGAGAAGAGAAATATGTTACCTCTGCCAGGAATCGAACCCAATTCCACAGTCATCATAGTGATCCCAGCTCCTGGAACAGTGGCAGCAATTGATACAGATGGGCAGTAACTTTATAAGCGGACCTCTGGAAAGACTGACAGATGGAGAGGTTTGATGGCTTGACCACCCACATAAAAGTGGAAACATGAATGGAAGCATAATCTTTATTTCCCAATGAAAAATTTAATTTTACATCAAGAGAAAATATTTAAATGTCTTCTGTAGACTGTCAAAATGATTAAAGGCAAGAAAACTTCATGTATTGCATCCTGAGGCCATCAAAAAAGCACCAAGAAAGTAAACAGCCAGATAGTCCTTTTCTGCTACTGACAAATCAGATGCGGTGCACTTAAAACAAATAAAGCATTTGCAGACTGCACATCCATTGCCTCATTTCAAGTTTCACCACTTAATGGCATACAACTCAAAAATAAATAAACAGAGAAAAGATGTAGGTTGTTCTGCAGCTTTTCTCAAACTTCAAGAATTAGGTTGTCTTTAAGGCTGTTGATTCAATGTTCCATTTAAAACAACGAAAGAAATGTAAAGTGAAGTTGGCAACATTACCATTTTGAAGAATTAAGATTGTCTTTAAGGCTCTCCCTCCAAAGTTGTATTTAAAGCAATGTGAGAAATGTAAACCTACAGTTGAAACACTACCACTTTGTAAGTATCAGTAACTTGGAACAAATTTTGAAACCCACACTTCAGGAGTCAGTATATTTTGTACTGTTCTGGGCAAAGTTGACAGTTGACTTATTTACAGAAGGTAACTGTACTTATTTTCCTTCCCCCTCCCAAACCCCACTACAATTTCATGCAATTTCTAGTCAAGACATAATTCTCTGTAAATGAAGTATATGTGTTCCTCGTTCTTGCTCCTAAGTATTTCAATAAACATGGGGTTCATAAATTTCAAAACTGTGGAAATAAATTCAGCTAATGAAGCTTTATTTTAAGAACTGAAAAAAAGCAAACTGCTGTCCTGTCTATATCTAATCACAAGCTGCAAAACTGTGGAAATGATTACTGCCAATGAAGGTCAATACATTTCTTTCAAACTGAACTGATGCCCCATATGACATATGCTATCATGTAGCATGTGATCATGCAGGCAAAAGATCCATCTCTCGTAACAGTGGTTTTCAAATCATCTCACAGAATGTTGGTCACACATAATCAAAACTAGAAGAAAAACCATTAGAAACAGCACATGAACCTACTTACTTGTCTTACAAAAGAGGAACTCCTCTGAGCCAATTTTGAGACACAAATGACCACTTCTGTGGTCTAGTGGTCAGAGTTCCTGCCTACTGATCCAGAGGTCCTGGGTTCAATTCTTGGCACTACCAGATTTTATGAGAAGTCTTGGGTTGGAACAGGGTCCACTCAGCCTCATGAGGATAACTGAGGAGCTGTTTAAAGGAAATAGCGACTCCGGTCTACAAAACTGAGATTAACGGTCATGGGGATCTGTTGCACTGACCACGTGACACCCTCTATCTGCAAAAATTGGCACTAACTTCGCCGACAAGTGGCGGTTGCTCAGTTGATATCACTTGTGGACTACAGACCACAGAGATGATGGTTAATATTACTGTAAGGTTTCACAGCAATGAAGTCCAGATTCCTGCTCTAGACGCACCTCCCTGAGGTAATGAGCACAGATACAAGCCAACGCCTGTTACTTGCTATTTCTTGCATGTATTCATGTTACGACTGTTGTAGAAAGGATGTTATCAGACAGGTGCCAGGGTGTCAGCCCTATGTCCAAACCCAGCCTCTCACAGACATGGCAAGACATGGACTGTTTTGACCTCAGTCAGTGGCATGTCAGTTAACAAGCGATTCAAGGAAAACTTGTATGTACAATGGATAGCAGAAAGTAGATCTGAGTTGATGCAAACAGAAAACAGAAGACCGTTGACTGAAATGATGCATAACTGGACAGTACAACCATGGAACATGGTACTGATGAAAGTAATTACAAAGAGCTTTTCAAAAGCTGGGATCACAAATGCTCTTGAAGGAAGAGAGTATGAGAGGTTGTGGGCTCAAGATGAAAACAAGGACGGAGATAGCAAACGGTGCCAGACAGCAGGTCCAAGGATCATAAAATATATAAAGCAACTGTTTCATCACGAAGTCATAACTAATCCTAAGACACTAAGCCATCATAACTTTCCATACAATAATTAATACGAAGGTTGGCAGACCACGTCTGGGGTGAGAGGCAAGATGTGCCACGGCAACTTCGTCATTAGGCAGGTAGCCCGCCGCAAAAAGTTTGATCATTAATACAAGGACATCAGCTGCTACAGTGTCTGTCACTATCCTTTGTCCTGCTTGGCAAGTTTATTACAATCTCTTAATAACTGGAATTTCTTGATGTTCTTAACCCTTGAGCAAGCATGCCCTGAAATTTGATTTCAGCAGACCTGAGGCATACTGTTTACAGCACCTTGCTTTTACAAAACTCATTGTTGTGAATAAAGTATTGTTAATTTTCATTAAAACTATTTTTGTTCCTCATTAAACATAAGAGCTATGTTCATTGTATCATTATTAACAGTACAGTTCACATAAAATATAAACTAACAAACAAAGACTATTGCAATTCATTTATGGTTCAATGAATAAATATGTATTATCTCAGAATCTACACTTTTGTTTATCACAGCTATATGTTATTCATACATACTGTGTGCATTAAAATTGGCTGCATGAACAGCATTCTTCAGTTGTGTCTGCATATTTCAATCCTATATTTTTCACAATTTATTTTTGCTCACCAGGTCTACACATCCATCTTCTTCATCTTCAATGGTTTTCTATTTTCAGATTTGACTTTATTTTGACCACATGAATAAAACATGGCTTCCATCAGCAACAATAATAAATTCTTTAAAACTACCATCTTCCATTTTGTTTGGTATTATCTGCACTGGAGTAATAAAGGATGTGTGCAATGACCAACAACATGTTCATTAGTGAAAAGACATGGCTGTTGACAACCATGTAATACAAGCTACCATGCAATGAATATTTTATAAACTGTGGTTAACTCCATACTATTCCCTTGAATGACTGGTACATTACTGCCTCCTGAAGTTACTAGGCTGCTCTGGTCACACACAATTCTGTGACTGCTTCTACTAATAACACTTTTTTTTCTGGAATTATAAATCTCCGCAGCCTCTCTCTATCTGATTTCTCTTTTAAGTATTCTCACAATTTCATCTGCCATACCATGTATCCTACAAAAATAATGAGAACATAATTAATATCTATATTTATATTTACTAAAAATGCTTTTGTGTTACAAACATGGCAATCTAGTCATTCATCTTCTTTTACTTAATTTGACTGTATCACTTGATGGTTGTTAAAGTGTGAAAAATACTTACATGACCAGGTTTGTAGCAGATTCAGTATACTAGATCCATTTCCATTAGAGTTGCATTGTCCAGTGACGGTTTGACTGCATTAACAACAGACCTAATGACACTAAAGGAATATGGAAAGAGCAATAGATGGAAGGCATGTAGTGCAACTGTCACATTACAATTCATAAAAATGGTGTAATCTACAAAAGACACCTACTCAAGGGTTAATGGATCAATACTGCACTGTTACAGTAATGCCTACTGTAAAAATTGGTATTGGTGCTTGAGAAAAATATGATTTCCTACAGCTGTTCTACTGCTACAGTTGGGTACACTGCCCAATATCCGCCTGATTATTTTAGAAAAATATATGTGTGGAGTAAACAAGTGTGGACTTGGTCCACCGAACCTATGTCCTGTAATTTTCCATACGAAGACAATGTACAAGGCAAGACTCAGTGCCTAAGAGGGAGATATGACGTCAGTTACCGGATGTAAATTTGCTTATAAACTCTCCGTAATCACAGGAGAGGGGGGATACTTTCGAAGACTTCGTGCCAGCCGTCTCTATGCGACTCAGCTCAGCGAAGTGGACTTAGAAATGTCAGCTCGTAGGGTTCTGGTCTTGCCTTCATATAATCACCAATGGCTGTATGAATTTCATCTTCTTTTTTTTTAAATGCCAAACACACAAATGCACAGACTAAACAAGTTCAGTGCAGTGAATGACCTCTTCAGTTAACCCAAAATCAGCATGCCGTCTACATGCAAAATAAATTCAATGTTTGTCTGCATGGAATGCTTCTGACATTTTTGGCCTCTTGGACATCTGACAAGACAGAAGACTTGTTTCTGAAGTGGAAGCACCCATGGGGCAGTTTACTATTCAAAGTGGTACAGCAAATGTAAGAATGCTGGTAAGAAAAACAAAAAATAGCTCATTAATCATTGAAAAAAAAATGGTATGACTCTTTAACATTTCAAAGTTTAGGCTTTGCTATATGTGATGAAAGATTTGTACAAACTATGACTAGGGATTGAACCCATGACCCTTTGAATGACAGTCTTGTGTCATCCCATTCTCACCAAGACCAACCACCCACAATATCCTACATACCACCGATTCAATAACATTACACATGTCTGAAAACCACTGTTTTAAATTTCACAAAGACCTGGTAGGCTAAACAAATAAGCTGCTTGAAGTCCATCTCCTCTATGAACCAGAGTACATCATATTTTGTGTAGGCAACCTTACAGAAGAAAATTTCTGTCATGTCTGAATTTCCCACTGGTATATAAAAGCCAAACGTACATTGAAAATAGAATCTAGTTAACTCTCTAATGATGACACAATAGGTTATGTCACAAACTGAACATAATACACCCTTGTTCCCACAGTAGATGAAATACACCTCCCTAATTCTGGCACACATACTCTTACATATTTAATGATCAAATTTGTTTTGACTCTTCTATACATGCGCACACAACAAACAATGCACATACACTTCTTGTAGTTCACCATCACACCCATGAGATGATATTAACAGTCATTCTCAGTTTCTTTAAAAAAAGTATCATATAAACTGGAGAAGAGCAAAATGCATTGTAGGCATCTTATAGTGTATTAAGACCATCTGGATGTCTTATTGAGCAGCTGTGTCATTGTTGGCTGAAACTTCCATTACACGCCTCTGTTGCGCAGATCTTTCACCTACAACAAAATAAAAGATAAGAAATGCAATGAAGAAGAAAAGTTTAAATGCTGCTATAATGAAAGCATGTACAGACAATGCTCCACTGGTAAATGTTACAAAATAGTTTTCAGTAACTGGGTTCATGAAAGAAGGAATATGTAATGAAGTACTTCCAGTGCATCCAGATGTGGTCTGTGTAGACCTATCTGGCCTCTGACCCCCTAAGCAAAGACAGAGAATCCGTTTCTGAGGAGGAGGCACGAATACACTGCATTCTGTTAACCCCAGTGACAGGATGATCATGAGAACAATCATTGGCAGAGGAGGCGTGTGCTGTGTACATGCTTGCACATTCATATGTGCTTGTGTACACACAGAGGGGAGACCATGCGCATCTATAGGTGCTACAGCTTCCAAAACAGGGCAAATTGGTATAAAAGTTTGATGATAAAAGCAGGTGTCAAAATTCATTATATATTCAAGAGCTGGCCAGTATGAAGTAATAAAACTGCCAGGTTACATAGGATCCTGAAAATGAGGTCTCAAAATTCAAGCAATAAAACTCAGCAAAGTCATGAAATATAAAAGTCTCAAAATTACATAAAATATCTGTGAGTTAAATCTACTTGGAGAGCCCAATACCATTCAAGAATGCCAAACATCTGGTGCACTACATCACTCATCTCCAAGGATACTGCAAAACACTCCAAAAAGATGGACGGTACAATGATATTCTTCATAAAATGGACATTCTATGGAAGATGTAGAACAGTATGGACTCCCTGCCAATCACAGAAGACATGGTCTAAGGCATGAACTGTCTTTCCCCACTCAAACACTGGGGCGATGGGTTCGAATCACACTTCAGGCATGCATGTTTACATTTATTCTGTTTGTGTTGTTCTGTGTAGGCAGTGGTCCTGCAGCTGACTGACCCCCTACCCAAGAGTCCTACTGACTGTCTACATGATTGAGAAACTAAAACAGAGGCCAAGGTTCATCATGGACTGTAGTACCCACACATTATTATTATTATTATTATTACTATTTCATCATCATCATCATCATCATCATCATCATCATTTTTCGACTTGGCACATAAATAATAAAGAATTCAATTATTATTATTATTATTCACTCATGGAGCTGAGCCTTTCTTGAAAAGCCACCAATTGTACAGCAACTCAAGAACTTCCCAGCATTTTACGGAACCTGAAGTTTCATAATCGTTTTCACAAAAGCCCTCCACTCAGACAGATCAATCAAATCCATCCCATCTCTCTAAGTTCCATTTTAATATTGCCCACACACCTTTGACTTGGTCTTGCTAGTGGTCTCTTTCCTACTGGCTTTCCCACCAATATCCTATATGCATTCCTCTTCTCCCCCACTTGTGCTATATGCCCTGCCCATCTCATCCTCTTTGACTTGCTTGTTCTAATTATACCTGGAGAAGAGTACAAGTTATGAAGCTCCACACTATGTAATTTTCTCCAACCTTTTGTCACTTCATCTCTCTTCTGTCCAAATATTCTCCTCAGCACCCGTTATAAAACACCGTCATCAGTCCATGTTCCTCCTTTAATAACAGAGACCAAGTTTCACACCCATACAGAACCACAGGCAAAATTATAGTTTTGCATACTCCAACTTTTATGTTTCTCACAGCAGACAAGACTGACTGAATGGTAGCAAGCATTACCCACATTCAGTCTCCTCTTAATTTCCTCTTGAATCAAGTTTCGATTTGTTATAGTCATTCCCATATATACGAACTGTGCCACATTTTCAAAATATGTTAGTTGCCTTTGTGTCATGATTTTGCCCTGCATCTTGGTGACGAGACAGTAGTTTTCTCCGTTTGTTATTATTATTGCTGTTGTTGTTGTTGTTGGTTCCCCACAAGATGAACAAACTGGTGCAATACTCTCTATGGAAGGAATGTCCTACAGTTCAATGTGAATGCCAAATTACAGAGGCCGTCTGGAATTCTTTACACTCCCAAAGTGTTATCTCTAATAGAGGTGAAGATTTCAATCTGTGAGCAGAAAGATATTCACACAGGTCGGACTGGAGATCAAACTCTAAACCCTCTGAATGAGAATCCACCATGCCATGAATGCTACGAAAATGAAAAATGTAATAGAGAGTTCAGTTGCAAAGAAGCTGCACAGGAACCTGGTCTAAAGCTTGAAAAAAGTATGGAAAGGTAAAGGAAGCTAAGAAAGGAGACAGCGAAGGAAAGAAGACAGTGGCAAAGCATAAAAAAAAATAAAAGAGGAAAAATGAAACACAGCAAGAAGCTCTGGACTGACTTCCACTATGTTATTATCTGCCTTTCATAATACCTGCATCCCTATTTCTCTATACATAATTCTCACTTTGGAACACTTAGTTCCTGTTTTTATCAAGAATTCTTGGAGCAAAAGCACTCACACTGTTGTCAAGAATGTACCTTGTATATGCGAACCAGCCAATGTTCTGTGGTGTAAGCCTCTTCTAAGACATCGAGTTCAAAATCCTTATTGCCAATCTCAGCACTTCGAACTCGATCATAACCTGGTGGCTTTCCTATAATATTAGAAACAATTTATCAATTTATGTGAGGTGACAAGATTAATGTGCAACAAAGTGGCTCCTTCTTTCTTTCCCACTGACACTGTTTTATAAATTTTGTGGTAAAGATTATGACACTACTTGTTTTGCTGAACTTCATATATGGAGTGGCCCCCAAAAAGAAATGTATGCACACTTCAATGTACAAAATATCTGCTTAAATAATTTACTGGTAATCTAAATCTGATACACAGAAAGGGAAGCAGCGAAGCACGCTGAGCTAAACCAAACATTCCAAGTGCCCATTATTAGCTTGTAGACTCTTCTGAGTTTGCAGGAGTATGAGGTGGTATCCATAATTTCCAGGACTGGTTCTGCCATCTGGTCAAAAATTAATTCTGGGCCTACTAGCAGTCCCTTTCCGCACATATGCACCATTCCCACCGCTTCTGCCATTTTTTAAATACATCCTGGAAATCGTGTTCTGTGGGAGGGTTCAGCACCACCTGCAATTCTGCCTTGATCACCTCAACTGAGTCAAAATTCGGCCTTTCAGTTTTATCTTCAATCGGGGTAACAGATAAAAGTGGCAGGGGACCAACTCAGACGAGTAGGGTGGGTGAGGGCCAACAGTCATGTTGTTTTTGGTCAAAATTCCCTGGTGAAAAAGGAAGTGTGTGATGGTGCGTTGTTGTGATGCAAGAGACAGTTCCTTTTTAGCAAAGTTCGGGGTGAAGTCTTCGCACATTTTCACACAGTCACCATAAAACTTCACAGGAGCATGCGGAACTGATTGTTTGGCCTGGACAATCCCCTTGATGTCAAAGAAAATGATGAGCATGCTCTTGACTTTGCTCTTCACCTGTCTCGCCTTTTTCTGGTACCAGTGAGTTTGGACTTTTCCATTTGGAGGATTGTTGCTTTGTCTCAGGGTCATAACAGTAAATCCAGCTCCTGTCACTAGTGATAACCCTGGACAAGAAGTTGTCTTGTCAGAGGCGCTCTGACAAAGCTCCTCACAAATGTTGACATGCTGCTGCTTCTGATCAGCTGTCAGAATCCGTTTACATGTCCATAACCAATTCCCATCTCATCAGCAAGGTCCTGAATGGTTTGATGTCAATCCTCACAAACAAACTGTTGAAGTCTGGCAAGAGTTTCAGGCATTGTGCAGCTGACGGGCCTACCTGTGTTGGTCGTCCTCAATGGATGTTCATCCTGAACTGAGCATGCCATTCAAACACCTGTGTACAGCTCATGCTTTCCTCTTCAAATGCTTGTCTATTTATTGCAGTCTCCACTACACTTTTTCCAAGATCTGCGTAAATTTGATGCACACTCCTTGTTCCTTTGTTGGATCCATCCTGAAATTGCACAGGCAAGACACACAACTCCAAATAAGATGATGCAAATAAATAGCACGTCCACCCAGCCACATAAAATTTTGTACACTGACTCCCAAGATACTACAACTGCTATAGAGACGAAAGCACCAGTCCTGGAAACTGTGGATACCATCTCGTAGTGCATGAGCATCTGTGGCCAAGGTGTTCATTGAGATAGAGGTACATGATGTTTCAACTTCTTCCTGTAATGTCTCCATTGTTGGTGGGTTTCTACAATATAACACATCCTTCAGGGGCCCTCACAAATAAAAGTAAAGGGGGGTCAAATCAGGTGAGCGTGGGGGATGCTCAACACTACCTCTGCTATATAGTGAGAACCGAAACCAAGTTACATATGAGGAGTACCCCGTGTGGAGGCGGGGTCAAATACCTCCACCGTGACCCTGCGAGTCGTAGGAGGTGACGAAAAGGTAAGTCTCAAATCTGAGACAGTAAAATATGGTCGCAAGTCCCAAGGGACTTCGACCCAAGAAAGACTGCACTGGCAAGGGCCAGCAGCATATACAAAAGACAGACCCATCCTCTCGTCAGAGAGGGTGTCCCACAGAAGCAAGACCCTAACTGTCAAACGGCAATAATTATTAACTGGTCATGAGCCCCAGATGGGGCTTGACACCAAAACTCACTTACTGACTGACCGTCAGTCGCAATGTGACTCTGACTTGAGTTATATATGATTATATAACAAAAGTATGCAGGCAACAAGCAGAAGTCATACAAAATCATGATAACGAAAATGTTCACAATACTGGACAAGGAGAAGCCCCGACATAGAAAGGATAAGAGGCCTAAACTTGGCGGTGGTCAGGCATATGACCGTCCAAGTGACTAGACTGCCAAGGTAATGAATACTGGTACAAACAGGGCATAATCCGCTGTACTGAGCCTGGATTGACAGAGGCCTTGTATATATTGTACAAAGAAATAGAAATTAAGATTAAATTTGTAAATATATGCAAATAATGAAAATGGACTTACTAATACTGACTATGACTGACAAATGACAGACCTGACCTTTCATCAGAGAGGGCACCCCAAATGGACAGGACAGTAACTTTCATATAAGAAGAAACATCTAGGGTTCGACACCAAGACAGACAGACTGACCGACCATCAGTCGCAATGTGACTTTGACTTTGACTTTGACAGTTAGTTAGTGGCAAGAGTGACCAGCAGTACTCAAACCCATCCTCTCTTCAAAAAGGTCCCATTTCAGAACATGTAAAAGTCTGAAAAGGAAAAAAATATGGTCATGGGTCCTCATGGAGCCCATAACCAATAACAGCTGTGCTAGCTAGGGACAGCAGCAATTTACTGGACTGGGCTGGACTGGACAGTTAGTGCTGAAGTTCTCATGAGACAGTCACCACTCCTGGTGGAGATGTGGGAGATGGAGTCCCCATTGTTGGAAGCTGTTACAAACAAATATAATTACCAATCCAAAGCCCATCTCTAGTCACTTAATAAGTCACAATATTTTTCCCAAACTTATGAATAGTGTCTGTGGAATGAAAATATATTCTAAATTAAATAATAAACTTCTGAACTGCATACATATCACATGAATCAAGACCTGATAACTTGAATTTGGAAGTGATATTGGAGGGACACAATGCACCACTTGCTGCATATCAATATGGCTGGCTGTTTACATTATTACACAACTGCAAAGTGACATGCCATACATTCGTAAGTTCATACTAACGTTTACCATCTGTGCAGTTCACTGCTATGTCAACGCATGTGTAGGCCCCAGCAGGCCTAGGGTCACATGGTTTATAACATAAACCCCATTATACTAAGACCCTAACTCACCTCCCTCAGTATAGACTTGTCCAAAACGATAATAGNTCATGAAACAATAAAGGTTAACTTAGTGTGTGAACTAGAAGCTTGAAGATACAGCTATGAGAGGTAGGCACTGCTCTCTCGAAATGACCCTAACTCACCTCCCTCAGTATAGACTTGTCCAAAACGATAATAGCACATTTTATACATAAGACAGTTGAGCAGTGTTGGTGAACCTTCCTTGTCTACACGGAATTCACCAGAAGGAGAGTAGTAATCCCACTCCTTGATATGACTTCCTCGTTCTGTGCTGCCACCAATTCGAACCATCCAAAGGAACTTGTTGATATCTGAAAACAATACACAATAGTATAGAGCAGATACAAACTAAAAGCAATTACATCTGAAATGTATGAACCAACATTTTGGCACCAATGTTACCTGTTCTCAAACTGTGCAGGTTTGTATACTGGTAACACTTGACACTTGTATTCGGGGGGGGGGGGGGGGGTTANNNCTAATCAGAAAACAGTCAGACATTGTCATGTGTAGGTGAGGTACACATGACAAAAACAATGGGTTCTAGATCAGATTATTGGATTTATTAACACCTTCCTTTACAATCACTCTTAAGTACAGGCAATACAGCACTACCACTGATTTACTCACTTCACTAATCACCAGGGCATGCTATCTGTTTCCTGGCAATGGATTTATAACATAGAACTATCACTTCAAATCACTATGAAGTCTTCTTGTCATTTTGTCTTCAATCACTCTGTCCTAATCTGTACTCAACTGCTTCATGCCATCTTCCATGATGTTTATAAACTTTCGGCATGGACCTCACAGTAAACACCCTCTGTTGCCAGAATTGTAGTGTTGTGTTAAAGCTATGTTGCCTAGCACTGGGCACCTCAGTGTTGTGTATTAATTACTGCGAGAGTGTTTATGGAGTCATTGTTTAGCAATGGTGACATTCCTCTATTGTTATAGAAATGGAAATTCTTCTACTGTTGCCAGTGTTACGAATGTGTTTATCTAGCAATGGGTTTTTCTGGCTCCGTAGGTTAATGCTTTGAGAAAAAAAATTACAATATATTCACCCAGAATTCTTACAAGTTTATTCATACCACGAAGTAACAAACTGCCAATGTATGTGAGATCTTAACCATCACTAAGAACCCAGTGATTATTTTGACCATAATCTGAGAGTCCTTATACTGGTAGCATGCACAGAGGCCACATCAGCAGCAAAACATGTATGGACACCACTGACTGCAACTTCTTATGTACCGAGTGCCTCTTACACTCCTCCTCTTGCCTTCCTGTCATAACTGCCTAGCCTGGCTACCTGACTGTGGACATAGATGGATCCCATGCCTGTATTTCATGAGCTGATCAAGCACAAATACAACTGTGCATTATTTTGGAAGCCTCGACACTGACAGTATTGCCATGTGTGACTAGACATGGTGTTTGGAATGATAACTGGAGTTGCCAAATGCTCATAACTTGTAACTACAAATGACTATAACAGTCTCACACACTCCAGACTACAGCACACATAAAGTCTACTGTTGGTTATTCAAATCATCACTAGCTATTGCTAGGTAGTTGCTGCTAACCAAGCAACTAAAAGACTGCTAACCGCCAACTCTGACCTCTAAGTTTTCCCATGGTTCGATCCCGGGTCTGGTCACATGGGATTTGTGGTGGACAAAGTGAGGCAGGTTTTCTCCGAGCACTTCGGTTTCCCCTGCCAATCGTCATTCCACCAATTGCTCCATAATCACCCTCACCTATCATCTGGGGCTGGTACAATAGGCCAGAAGTGGCTGCAGTATAATATACTTAGTCCCACCCCACTAGCAATAAAAAAGAAAGTTTTCCCATTGGTCCTTGCTATACAGCCTCAACATGAATGTCACAGAAAACAATGCTTCCAACAGTTCATATATTGCTGTGAAAACATGCTTACTGCACTGCTGCCTAGCAATGGCCTCCTCTTCCTGTACTACTATTCAAGCTTTTGGCTATCATGTCACAATATATAAACTGAGGTGGGAACCAACATTATCCTTTGTTAGACAAAAGATGAATAAAAATATTAAATTAAACTTTTTTCCCACAATCTGTCTAGAAGTAGGGGTGCCACAGATCAGCCATTTCAGCACATGAACTTGAGACTGTTCAAACTCAAGGCTCTCATGATTAATTGACATATCTGAACATATGGTTGTCACTGAACAAATTGCTGCTTTAACTTGAGACTGTTGCTGATCAGCAAATCCACTGCTTGAAATTAATGCTGCAACTGATCAGCGTGTCTACTCACTTGAATCTGAGACTGCCAGTGATCAGCCTGCATTTCAGATTGCTACAATTCAGTCAATCTACCACCTGACTTGAGACTGCCATGAGCCAACTTATTTAGCATGTCATCAATCAGCTGATATATTGCTTGAAATCAAGGCTGCCAGTATCAGCTCATCTACTTATTTCTGCTTGTATCAACTACCACACTAACAAGCTGAATTACAAGAACTTATAAGATATATCATTTTCACTGTAAATATGCACTTTCACTTTCAGTGTGATACAAAATACCACAACATAATGGATAAGAAACTGACTGCCTCCAAAGCCAAACATGTGATAATAATGAAATTCCCTCTGCTGCTACCCGCCATCATATAATTTTTAAAAAATATTCAGCTAAAGAGTTCGCAATGTATATAAAGAGTCCGATTCAAGTAGCTACAAGGTTTCCCAATATGATCCCTAAAACCAGAACAGAACTTCAATCTCACATTCATCTTGAGAGGGGAGGGACCTTTAACTGCAATACAAAGGAAAACCATTTGAATTGTTAGGAAAATCTCCAGTGCACAGGTCAGACTAATGAGTGGAATTACCTGGGGGCTGTAGTTTACTCTGCTTTACAAAAGGGATTTCCCTCTCACTGCAGAAAAAGTTTCTTGGGAGGTTCGAGGAGACTATTAGCAAGGTATTTAAGCAACATGTGCACAGCGTGGCACTTTCCAGTTTAAAATGCAAGAAAAATATCACAAAATACGTAGTTTCATATAACAACCCAAGAAATATGTACAATAAAATTCAAATGTGGCGATGCTATCATGGAAATTACTACTTTTGGAACATCTACATAATAAATAAAATATTTACATTAGAATCCTAGGTCTACTCAATATGTCTGTAAATTTCCATACCATCAGAGGAGTAACCAGTGAGTCCACCAAATATAACAAGAACATAATCAACATCCAACTCTCGCATGATTTCATAAGCACGATCCTCAGAGGATGCCATCGCTTGACCAACTCTTGATATGTGTGTGTTGTTCCAAGTGTTGTTGTCTACAAGGATTGTTCGATTTGCCATTGCTGTTATCTGATAACCATAATCCCACCATGACATGACCCTCGCATCCTGAAACATAAGCACAAGTAATCAAGAAGAAAGAGACAATTATACACTAATTCCAAATAAACCACTGCTGGAGATATAAGTTAAAATAGTATCCACAGATATACAGATAATGTACTGATCATTAACCATGACTGACAGCCTACAAAGTCATGTCTGGTCAGTATACATTTTTAATAAAATTTATGCTATCAATGAAATGAACATAGAAATGAAGATAAGAAGGCATTACAAAATAAAATGATTCTATAGATAACAATGAAGTTTACAGAAACCCACGATTAGTGAAACCCCGATTTAAGGCTACTTCATGAATTTGTGAGTCTGAACATTAAACTGAGAAAAATCTTAAACGAAGAAATGTAACATTGAGACTACTGACCTAGGATCATTGAAGCTGACATTAAATGTGGGAAAATCTTAAATTAAATGTGGATTCTGCCGCATATAAAAGCTAAGGATTGCCATCCTTACATACAATTCATCATTATGAGTAGTAGTTATTGAATTGAATTGAATTGAATTTATTTACATTCTATAAATCCTAAGCAGGTTAGTACCTTTGGATACAGAACAAGTCAAAATGTTACATACATAAGTACAGGCAATTTTAGCTTAAAAATTAATATAACTTAATTTTACATCATTCTCTATTTACATTGAAGTATTCATCTAAAGAGTAGAAGGAATGAGCATGTAGATAATTCTTTAACTCTGATTTAAACTTTTTA